GGTGTCAAAGCGGAGCACAATTCTCCGGGTGTTTTAGATCAAACTGACACGCAGGTACTGATAAGCAAAAACGTTAAACTCATTTCCAGCTTCGCAGAGTATTTTTAGTGACATTTCCTCCGACACGAGCACAGGTTATCACACCCAGGGTACATTTGTCTGCTAGAACATCCGGACAGCAGAAACCTTAGAAGGTTGGAGGTTTAAACTGCTGAGAAAAACGTGATTTAAACTTATTCCCAGCTACATACAGAGTTACATTTCCTCCTACTCTAGCATCCAGGCTACCAGACTTTTTCCATGACTCCCTCCTGATACAAGTTTAACAGGGAAAGCTGGAGAAATTTAAGGTGGAGAATGAGAGGCAAAAACCGAGTAACTGCAGACATAGGTGCCTGTCCCAAATACCGTTAATTCCTACTGCAGTCAATCCCACATACGATACCGAAAGGAACTTACTAAGTAGTCAGATCCTATACGTATATATACAATCATGCAGCATTTTTCCTCCGATAAATTTCCTCATATACCAGCAGCACAAGATTACCAGACTCAGACCACGATTTTCTGTAACCGGCTTCGGATATCACAAACAGGCTAGGGAAGGTGGGAGGGATATGGTTAACAGATGCTGATGCTATGGAGGCAAAACTGCACACATAATTTGTAACAGAAAAGAACAGAACAGACACAAACCCGTCCCACCTATCGTGAGGGAGGCTAGTATATAGTATATGTAAATATATTCTGTATATACTGTAGGTATCGGTATCGGTACAGCCGCCCATCGGCGTAACACACCAGCTACGTATACATGTAGGTATATATATATCACTGTAAGTATAACCAGATATATTTATCACTATATAATATTAATTAATTCTTACTCAGATTGAGAACTTATTCCATGCGGCAGAACAGAAAACAGAACATAACATAAACCAGCCCCTTCTATTGTTTCAACTCTACTTCAGACCCAAAATACGATACCAAAAGGGACCCAGTTAGATCTTATATATGCTATAGATATAAATATATATGGCACTATAAGTAATGCTTACTCAGATTGAGAACTTTTAAATTCCATAGCAGAACAGAACAGAACAGACACTAGCCCGTCCCTGCTCTCGTGTCAACTTCCCGGCGAGCGCTTCACAAAGCGTCGGGAGGAACCGCCACTGACCACGCCGCGGAAAGTTTCCCCAGAAGCGAAAGCTGCTATTAATATAAATTCCGTCCGAAATTTCCCCAGATTCCCGAACCTTCTCTCACCTGGTGACACGGCGTGCAGGAGGAGGCTCTGTCACGGGTCTCAAGTGTCTCAGCTCCGGCGATAAGGAACAGAATTAAGACGTAAGGAAACATGATTTTTTTACAGACCGAGCGCCGAAGTCTGGAAGCGTGGCCACGCCGGACACATGTGCTGTTGGAACGTAGTATCGAAGGTACAAACAGAGTATGCTTAAAATTGCTTAAGGGTAGGGGGCGCCTGTAGGGTTTTTCTGAACACCGGTCGCGGTGAAATATACCCGAAAAGAATCTTAAATTTTTCAAGGTTACCACAACAGCCTTTACCAATAAAATACTGTTCCTATCAAATCAATAAGAATAAATCGTAACATCTTTCAGTTGTAATTTTGTGAGTCAAACAGAGAAAACTAAAGTAATATCATTGAATACCCTAAGCTGACCCCACGCCACCGTGAGCACGTGGTTGTTTTCAGTCGGTTAGCCAGGGAGGTTAACCACACATAACCCCCTGAGGGAGTTCCCCTTTTCTTTACCCGCGTACAAACAGCGAAATACGGATGAGTTCCCGTTTTGAACCAGTGAATAGCGCGATTGTCCTTCTACTGTTACCTCTAAGCACAATAATTAGCTTCCTCACAATAATTTCTGAACGATAGAAAAAGCGCCCATATACAAGTATTTGTATGTTGCAAAGAAAAGATAATCTACTTTAGTGTTAGGCCATGTTACAAGTGTAACGCGTGCAGGTACGGTACACACGTAGGCGGTGCCAACTCTCCAAGCAGAGGTTTGGGGTTATTTTTGGCGTATTCTTAGGCTTTTTTTAATCGGGGTTTCTCCTTTGCACTGGAATTGGGGAAAAAATTCAGTGCAAAAGAGAAACCCAACAAAAAAAGCCTAAAAACACGCCAAAAATAACCCCAAACCCAAACCTCTGCTTAGAGAGTAGGCGGTACCGAGTGAATGGGGGTGAGTGACATGTGACCTAGGGGCATCTACGTTACAATTCAAACGGCTCCAACAAAGACCCACGCCAAGCTTGGTGTTTTAAAAGGCCTTAAAAGGCATTTGAGCGACACGGTTAGATACGTCAGGTACGCTGAAAAGGAAGTTATGATATGGCCGGCTAGTTTCATACCATACAGGGAAACCGGAGTATGGGAACGGCCGGTAACTTCCGCGAAACCGCGCCGGAATACCAGGGAACCGACAAGAACTACTCTCCAAGCAGAGGTTGTGGGGGGAAAGATCGTTAGATTTTTTTATAGGGCCCGTTTTTGTCGCTAACCCCAAAAATAAATATATAAAAGACTGCTTCGTTATTAGAAAAAAACAACAACTTATGATTATAACTACATGTACATGTATCCCCACCTGATGGTGACACTATGTAAAACTTATGCTAGCCTTTATTGTTGTAGGAATTAGGATGTTACTTTTACTCTATAAACTTTTTCCTGTGCTATGTTAACTAGTTGAAGTTGCCATACATCGTCCCATGTACAACTACCGTGCATTAAGTTCTATATAAACATGTGCAACACCTCAGTGTGGAGACATTTTGACGGTTTCTTTCTTCCCTCTCATACCGGACCCTTCACACGCCCACGTACGTCACATGTGAAGTTTCTCAACCACACGCCCACGTCAGCACTCAGTCGACCACGTAGTCTCCATTAAGAGAGGGGGCGTTACAAATGGCTACTACGTAGAAGGTTATCTTCTTAAAGTTTCACTGGAGTATGATTACAAAATGTACACAATGTACTTAAAGTTTGATTTTACCCAAGTTTTAGATTTCTCAGTTATTCTTCCCCCTACTTTAGTCCTTTCCACACGGCAAAGGCTAGGTTGCTAAGGGTCCACATACGCTCCGACTTGAAATCTTGCCTCCAAAGTGCTCTGTTTTCTGCAAGTGTTTATCATGTGCATGTTAAGCGTACAGCCACTGTAATAGGGAAGACCTGAAGGGCACATATATAAACACGGTGATATTTAAACAGCCGACACGGTTTACAACAAGGAAGACTTCCTCTTGAAACTATAGGAGCGTGCCCTTTGGTCCAATTGTGATTGTCCAACCGCGTCGACTTATATTACATTACCTGGTTTACGTGCCAGTTCCATCGCAACACAAGCATGAGTGCATACTCTGTAACGAAAACATACAAACACGCAAAAATATGTGTTAACACTGTGATGCGACAACAAAGAGTAAAACGTGCTTGTGAGAGGAATATAAAATCCTCACTACAACATTAGCTCCTGAGTGCCGCATCAGAGATAACGTTACCATGGTATCGTGGGTTATCAGTGATGTTCATCTAATACTATCACAGATTACTTACATTTCATTCAACTAATTGCGTTATACGATTCTGTGAAGAGCTTCTACTGCCCTCTTGCGACATATACTGTACTTCCAGCATCAAGGCGCCAATTTCTGATGTCTCCTATTTGAAACAAAATGTAGTAAGCCTAAGGTTTTCACCTATGAATTGCTTCCTGCCAACCTAAAGCTGGGCACCATTCTACGGTTCTGTGATGAGCTTCTAGCGCCCTCTTGCGACATACACCGTAGCTGCAGCATCAACGCTTTAATTACTGATTTCTTCTATCCAGGCATTAAGGTTCTCGATCGCTCCCTACCATTAACTAGTGTTGGGCGAAATCTCAACAATGATATTTAAAAAATAATGTGCCTTCTGAATTCAAAGTCTGGGAATTGACAATGACAGTTTTTTTTCCCCAATGACACTTGAAAAATGGCACCCTAAATGTTGGATAAATGACTACAGCATTGTCAGCAAGCCTTGGATAATGTCAATAGTCACTCAGTACTGCAAACATCATAGAACACGACCATCCCATAGCTAACCTTCAAAGGTAGTTAAGTTGAGCTGAGTACCTTTAAGAGTTACCTGAGGACACAGTGTGTGTCTACAGACTGCTGACTGCTAATGTTGTAGGTTCCACTGCTCAGTAAGACTGTTCCACATCATAAATCATACGGCTTAAACACGTCACGCACCATTTTTCTTCATGTACTTCAGACATAATGTTCATCAGTAACTGTGCAGGACGGATACCCCAGGCTCTGTATCAGGAGGTATTTTACTAGCCTCTACCAGGCTTCGGGAGGCGGCTGGAAAGAGTAGCCTCTACCAGGCTTCGGGAGGCGGCTGGAAAGAGTAGAAACTGGCCAAATAGACAGAAAACATGCCGGGGGAGTAAGTCCGTTCAAAGGACTACAATTATCTGCCCTGTGTACTCATTTACATAAAGCAGACCAACTCCCCTGCATGTTATCTGTCTATTTGGCCAATTCATACTCTTTCCAGCTCTCTCTGAAGCCTGCCCCAAAAGGTAAAGGTTGTGCCCACTATACTTTGGTGTAAACCAAAAACCCAGTGGCATTAATGCTGTCTGTATGTACCTCACATGTACGTAACATTACTGCTGACATATCATGAATAGAGAACTGTATGTTCCAATGTAGTAGGAAATGTACCACATATACAATATTGAAAGCAACCACTTCTCTAAAGTATCAAACATAGTCAATAACTCTACAGATAATGTTGCACTTCTTATTTATTTATCCATCTATTTCATTTATGATATAACTAACAGTATGGTTTTACAAGCTATATATATATATTATACCGTAATGTAATGTTTAAAGTTAAAACTTTTGGTACAACACAAAAATTTCTCTCACCAAAAGTTTTAACTTTAAACATATAACTACCAACACAGATGAACTTTCATGATTGTAATTTAATGTAGTTGTATAACAATTATTAACCCTTAAACTCTGAACTGTTTGGCAATTCTTTTTGTCATTACAGAATAATAGAACTAGATTTTACAGGTTTACAGCGAAAGGTAAGACACTGTCCAGGTATTTCTGCGGCAGGTATTCCTTCATCTCCTCAGAAGTGACCCACACAAACTCCTGCACAGCCTCACTCCCACACTCCACCTGGCCTGAGGATAGCTCCGCTTTGAAGAAGAAAATCTGAAAAGTGTGCAGAAAGCTTGTGAGAAAAAATTGACAAAACACACATAGAAAACTCTTTGACTCTTGCAGTCAAATTACATAATTTCATCGTATCCAGAACCGAGTACCAAAGACATTTGCCCCAGGTAAGATTCTGGATAGTCCTCGCATATCCAGAACCTTACCTGGGGCAAATGTACATTCATGGATAGAAGGAGCCTATGAAGAACTGTGCCTGACCTAACCCATTCAGGCATGTGTGGGCTTATGTTAGAGCACCAGAAGAGAAATACTGAGTATATGAGGTAAATAAATCAAGAATAACTTACTGATACTAAAACAGCTGGTACATTAATTGAGAATAACAGCTGAATAAACCATCCAGCCTACCTTAGCCCCGAGGTTATTTTGAGACCGCAGTGTCCGAGGAAACTTGTACTTGTAGAATCCGCAGGGAGAATTTCCATAGAAGGTGGTTCTGAGCTGGGAGCCGCAGCAGGTATGCAGGACACGCTCTGCTGTCTGTGGCAGGAGGGAGGGGGGAGTTAGGAACATACAGGAATTCAAATACAGTATTAAGTACAGGAGATTCATGATTACACAAGAAAACAGTTACTCAGGCAACTGGATAGATTTCAAAATCTGTCAGAAATTTTTAAGCAGCATCCACTAATTGTCAGCGATTGAATAGTGCATGAGGCAAATGGACTCTCTCTAGCAACTCTCTCTCTCTCCCTGGCCAATTAAATCCCCTTTTTAGGCCAATTTCTACTATTTATTCAGCCTGCAATGGAGTCTGGTGGAGACTACAGAATTCAGGTCATCTTAGTATACAGTGATAAGACGGAATTAAGAAAATACAGATCTTGTTTCTGCATTATCTAGCTGCACTGGTAACATGAAAAATTACCTGCACATCACATAATTTAGGTTATGTTATGTATTCTGCAGTTTGTAGACAGGTGAATATAGGAAGGGTTAGGAAAAAAAAACATTAAAAATTATGTGCATCACTCAGAATTTAGAATGTATGGATCACACTAAGAACTGTCCAGAAACCATCGCCAATATTCCTTCTGCCTTCTGCAGACTTGTGATAAGGAACAATGTTAGAAATGGGACCAGGAAATGCAGTTCAAAATAGGGTCCAGTTCACATAGACTTTGTACGTACATGTACATGTCTATGGATTTGTTAGGACTTCCATCATGTAACCTGTATGTTATATTCTGTCTAAATCCTCTTCATCATGAACTCAAAGAAAACCATTATTTTTTCACGAATCTCAGCATTTCATGTATCAGCATTTCATGTATAAACAAAGGCTAAAAAAAAACAACAAGCAAACAAACAGTTTGTCTCAAATTATCATTTGGCACATCTTCAGTATTGGAAAACTGTACACAGTGTGATAAATCTGCTGGTTCATGACTAAGCACAGGTCACCACCTTGGCTTGTGTCAATTTGACATGGGTCACTTCTCTTAACACTTAACTCACACAGCTTACATACATGTATGAACACAACACCAGGACTCACCTAGCCTCCACCAGGCCTTTCCCGGAATACAAATCATAGAATTCGGCAAAAAGAGAGTAAAATTGGCCAGCGGAGTCTGGCTACGGAAGGTTGTTTCTTTGCTGCGCGGCCAGTCAAACCTACAAGGCGGCCAAACTCCCCTGGCAAATATTCACCTATATATAGCCAGCGTAGATAGTCTGGTAGGACTAGGATTCACCTGTCCTGGTTATTAAATGCACATTTTATCTTTGGTTTATGTTACACAATTTGGATTTGATGCATGGTTGTTCACTGTGAGTTGAATATTTTAGTTCATACATTTTTCTTTCATTTGTATCATAATTCATGTATGTTCAGGGCACCACTGTAAAGCAGTGAATTGATCGTTTTGACACTTGGTTCTATATCATAAATGTAATTTTTGTTCATGACATGTACTTTTTTCATTTGTATTATAATTATGTATTATTCATGTAGGTCCAGGACACCACTGCAAAATTGAAAGAAAATTAAAGGCACTGAGTTGGTTTCATGACCCTAGCTACAAAAACAGATTGAAATAAATAAATAATAAATATTCCATCACCCCATAACTAACTAAAGCCACCATCTCATACATACAGAAATTACACCCAATTCTGAGTCCTGAATTCCCCCTGACATGTCCACTGATAGACTGCACAGCAGGGCTGGAAATACTGGGTGCATGTGCACCTTAGTGCACCCAAATTTGGAGCTGTGCACCCATTTTTTTTCTGTGGTTGCACCCAAATATTACGTATGCTAAATGTATAGTACAGTTACTGTAGTATACAGCTTATTCTTAACATCTAAGTGTCAGAAAAATAATAGAATCATTGTTATTTTTTTTTTGTTATAGTACTTTTCTTCAGAAATTAAACATGAATGTGATTAGTTTTTGCTGACATTCTACTTATTTCATATTATATGGTGCACCCAAAAATATTTTTGTGCACCCAATATTTTAGGATGGGTGCACTTATTCCCAAAAATGAATTTCGAGCCCTGTATAGAAGTCATACATATAGAAATTACACCCAAGCCCTAGTCCTGAATTCCCTGACAGTAACACGTCCACTGATTGCACAGACAGAAGCCCACATTTTTCCCCATCAAAAAACCCGAGTCATCTTCCCTGACAGATGACAGCTGTTACCCCCGACAGACAGTTCTGCCGTGTTTTATGTTCGCTCTGTAACGACCTGTTTTTCACTCCGTACGGCCGTTCAGCGGGGGAAAAGTGGAGAGTAACAATTTCGGTCTCGCACGGAGACTTTCATCTCAGCCTGAAAATTATCGCCCGGCCGACACGTTACGGGGTGAGGCAGGTTATGAAAAAAGCAATAAATAAACATGAGAAAATATCAGCGCAGAAATTGAATCGCGATTTACTCCCGCACCTCCGAACAATTTGCAGGTGGCCGGAGTCAGTTTTGCGTGGCGAGGGTGGTTAGGACGGCGATGGTGGGGATTTGGGATGATTATTGCCTTTCTGGTTGAGTGGCTGCCGGGAAATTGAAAGGTCTTTCTGCTGTGGTTGTGTTTGTGAACATGTTTGGATGGACGCTGTAAGGTTGGACGTGATGTGAGTGTAATCTGTTAGGCCTGGAAAATATTGTGTTTTCTGTTTCCCAACTGACCCTAGAAAAAACTGACGAACCCTAGACTATTTTGTGTGGACCTTTGCAAGGGACATAAATTTTTTGGCTGATTGATCTTTTCTAGCTCCATGATCGGACACCTGAGTGATGAAACGTTGTACAATCAGTTTTTCAACACTGACAACAAAACTATATGTGTCTTCATGCAAGTTTTACTTTGTTAAACTGTATTGTATACGTTCAATCACTAGATATCGCTAAAGTCTGATGAAAAAAGGAAGAAAGAAAAAAAAGATAGTCCCTACCTACCGACCCTATTTTTTTTCAGGACTACATGTAAAACAGGAAATAGTAAACCTATTTCAGCATGTTTTTTTTACCTGTCTAAGAGTCTCCCCTTCCTCTCTCTTCCCCTGTGGCATGACCCACACAGCCTTGTCTCCCAGCTTCTGTTTCACCAGTAGGTACAGCGGGACGTCCAGTTTCCTCAGCTGACTGCTTCTGTCCTCTGTCGTGTCAGCTTCTGTAAGGAACATCAACAGTTTAGCCTGTTGATTTGACTGGAGGTACACTAGTAATATAATGATTATGTGTAATTTCAACAAACTGATGTTTCATCACTCTGAGGTGTTAGATTATGGAACTGGAAAAGTTCAATCAGCTCAAAAAATTTATGTCCCAGTTTTTATAGGGTCGGTCGGGAAACAGGAAACACAACATTTTTTTCTCTAGGCCTCCTGTACCTGTGGACCGACCAGCCGGTTGGTAGTCCTGTATATAGGACTCAGGACAAGACGCATACAAACAAAACAGTACCACCCAAAACAATACTTCCATCCCAGCAGTAACACTATACTTTACCTGTGGATCTATCGGCAGGTTGGAAGTCCTGTAGTTTATCAGCTGCCAGGTCCTCCTTATCTGCAGCCAATAGGAGGGCAGCATCCTCATCATCATCATCGTACCCCATTCTCTGACGTTTCTGCAGCCTCACCCTGGAGTGGCACATCAGGAATATGGTAAATATGGTGGCAAGATAAAAGTGGTAAATATCAAATACTTTTAATACACATGCCTTGAATTCATACGTAGTAGAAGTAGAAACTATAACTTTAAACAATAAATTCACACAGTTCACACAGATGAAATATTGATATATAAAAATTAAAAGGGCAAAGAAAACCTTTAGAAAACCAAAAAATATAAACATGACATTATTGCACATAAAATGAAATGCACCCACTTCTTTGTGTATATAAGTGCATAAATTTTGAGAAAAGCATACATTTTCTTTTATGATTGCAATGTATTTTTCACAATCATCTGAAAAAGCTATCCGGTGATCTGGTGATATTATAATAAGAACAGTTGGTGATGTTATGGTGCTTACTTCATACAGTGAAGCATGAAGGAACAGAAATTCATTTGCATCCAATATATCTCCTAAGGGACCACATAACAATGCATAAACAACTACTTAAAAGCGCACTACAAACTGAAAATGGAAATACACCAATCAAAACACAATAACAGTGACAATTACTATGTTAAAGGATTCCACACTAGAATAGTTTATGATATAATAAAACCAACTCTTCAATACCTACAGTGTAATTCCTCTGGTTGTGTAATGTAGTGTGCATGGTGATAAACAGAGAGTCTAGTCTAGTTAATAGTTATGACCCTAAAACCCACTACCACAGACCAGCATTCTTGCCATCAGTGTTGCAGTATCACTACCTAGTGACAAGGTGGTCTTGTTGACTTTAAATCTGAAGGTTCTGGGTTTGAATCCCTAACAGGCCCAATGTTGTTCAATGGTAAGAGTGGTAAGAGTGCTTCATACCTTAGGTAAATATCCAGCTGGAGAAACTAGCCTGGGGGGCAAACTATTTCCAGGGCCTACACAAGCCCACTTCAAGGACCAACATGTCCCCACAGAAATTTCTAGTATTTTAAATTACTTCCCTATAAACTCGGTAAACTCACTAGGGTCCAGCATGGGTCTGGAATACAGGCTAGTACAAAACTGGTGTGCTACGACTTAAGTGTGGGTAGTCCTCATGTTTCCTCCATGAGCTGCAGCTCGTGATCAGACAGGACGCTGGTCATGTTTGTTTGTTTGTTTGAACAGTATGACTAATGTGTGTTTGTTTGTTTGTTTGTTTGTACTTACGTTTCCTCCATGAGCTGAATTTCATGATCAGACAGCACGCTAGTCTCCAGGTGCAGCTGCTCCAGGTGCTGTTTGTATCTCAGCTCCACGTCTGACAGTTTAGCCATGATGAGGGGGCGACGGACTACACACACCGCACTCATCAGGGTCCAGGGAGAGGGCCTGAAAATAGCATGTTTGTTTCTTTCATCATTATCATCATCATCATCATAATACCCCCAAATAACCCCACAAGGAGTGCTGTTAGGGGGAGAAGAGGCCCGACCCAGGATGACTCAACATTAGGAGCCATAACTACCGGGCTGGGCAAGGAGTTCCACCGGGGGATGGTGCAGCGAAAGAAGGAGAACCTGTATCATCTATGTGTCTGTGCCTGTGTTGGTACTAATGGTAGGCTGGTATTTGTTTGTTTATTTGCTACCTGACAGTTCAGCCATGATGAGGGGGAGATGGACAACACACACGGCACTCATCAGGGTCCAAGGAGAGGCCCTAGTGGAATAATGTAGAACAAATATTTCACAACAGCACACTGCCCTAGCCTACCTGGTAGATTTAATCAACAACTTTTAGGTTTAGCACCACAAATAAGCAGTACGACTACTTACTCAGGTTGTGAACTGTTTTCTTCACTTTCTGCAGGTCCAGTTTTGATCCCACAAACACAGCACAACCTGGAGACAGCCGCTGCATTCTGAAGTATACCTAGGGAAGGATGGCATGAAATCAAAATATACTTCAGATTCATTGGAAGTTCGTGCCTCCAAAACAACAACAGCATCCCAGGGATGGCAGACAGTGACTCCACTGTTCACTGTAACCTCCTTGATGCTATGCAGTCAGAAAAATGGCACATATAGTGACATACACACCCAGACACACCCAGCTCAGACACCCACACATACACACACACAAAAATGATATACTTTATTTGTCGAGAAATAACGCATAGACTTATAGCTGATGAACAAGAATTTAGAGGTCACTGATATGATTGAAAGACTTTTTAAACACTTGGTGACTTAATTTTTAGGGTTTCTAGAGTTATCGTCCCTACTAACAGTAACGTTATAGTGCAACCTATTGAGGCTCTTTCGAGACGTGATTTCACGGGAGTTTCCATGTTCTTCTACAAGTCTATACAGGTAACACACCACTGACAGTAATTTCAAGTACAAGTTCTAGATAATATTTCCCACCTTTGTGAGCATGAGAAGAGGAGATAAAGGCCGGTTTCGTCAGACGATTTGCAGACACCAAAAACGCGTTTCTTACCAAGGGCGCCGCCATTTTGCTAGTGACCTTTGACCCAGCGAACGGTATCCTGATTACCTAACTATTGCGGAAGATGAACAGCCTGCAGTATTCGCCTTCTCATCATCATCATCATGTCGGGAGTTGTAGTTCCCGGTCCCAAACCCTCTCTCGCCAGTCCACTTTGTCCGTCATGGCGCTCGCCAGGTACTCCTTTGGAAGACCCACATCAGCAGCCAGCAGGTCTATGTACGTCATACGAGGACGCCCAGGTTTAGAATGCCCTTGTTTGGGCTCCCACAGGATCAGTTCACTAGCTAGCTCAGCCTTATTTCTGTAGACATGTCCTGCGAAACCTGTTCTCCGCTGTCTGATAAGCTCAGACACAGCTGGAATGTCTCCGTAGAGCTCCTCCTTAGTAGGATGTTGCTGCCATGTCTTGTTCAATACTGCACGTAGCATCCGTGTGTAAGTTCCATCTAGCCTTTTTTCCAGCTTCTTTGTCAAAGTCCATGTTGGTGACCCATACAGCAGTACTGACTCTACCACCGCTCTAAAGAAGTTTCTTTTCGTGTTGTCAGGTAGAGAAGATTTCCATATTTCTCTCAGTTCTTGTAGCGCACTCCATGCTTTTGCTATACGGATTAGCACATCTTTTTCTGTGGATGAGATATCGCTTCCCAGGTAGCTAAACTGTTTTACTTCTTTTAATCGGGTTCCATTCAGGGTGCTGATCATGCCACTCTGGTTGAAGCAAATGAATTCAGTTTTCTTGGCATTTACATAGAGGCCAATCCCAGAGGCTGCCTCTTCTAGTTCGTCTTCTATCTCTTCTATTCGCCTTCTACATACTGCGAACCGTGCCTATCTAGACTAGTTTCTATGCCTGAATGGGTTAGGGCTAGGATCAGCCACGGTTCTGGATAGTCTCCGTCCATCAAAGAACGTAGATTTGCCCCAGGCACGACTCTGGATACGCGTGGACTATCCAGAACTAAGTTATATTTCGTGTTCTGGATAAAGCACGGTTCCGGACACAACAGTGCTTGGCATGTAAGACCATTTTAGGCCGTGTAACATAGCACTATACTACGAATACGATCTCTGCAATGAAAGTTAATAAAACAGAAAAACCTTGCCATATTTCATGCTGCTTTTACTATTGCCACATTTGCACATTCCTATTTCAAATTACCCCCAAGTCTCTCTATGTACAACAACTACATTTACAAGAATGATGGATTGCACGACTTCATAATGGCCGTTAACAGCATCATTTAATCCGACCAGAAGACCCGCGCCTATCCGTGATCATTACGGGCTCCACTCTACCATTATACCCAACCTCTGCTGACAATAGAATATTGCACTTAAAAGCACTTAAAGCATTTTTCTGGGCTAATAGTACCCACCGCCTGACAGAGAAACGGTATCTGAAGACGTAATATAAAAGTGATAAAGTCAGAACGTGAGTATCATGTGCTGCGGATCGATGACTGGGTGATAAACACAGTGAGTCTGTTCTTTTTTAGGATCAGAGATTAGATATCGACAGGCGGAACGTTAAACACGTTATCGGGGCATCTTAAAGCGGTGCAGGGATCCTGGAGATACAATATCACGTCAGACTGCGCGGCGGCGGTGTAACAATAATCCCGGAACACTGCCGTCTACAGACTAACGCATTCAAAACGATGCCTGGTGTGCTTAGATTCGACTTCATTACTCTCCATGCAGAGTTTTAGGCTTATTTTTTGATGTGCTTTGATGTGTTTTTATTGGGATTTCTTTTCTTTTTTTTTGGTACCGGTATGTTTTTTTCGTCACCCGAACGGGTAGCGTACTGGATGGATAAATAATATGGCGGTTATGTATTTTGAAGACTGCCTCAGAGAGATGCAACTGAACTATTGACGGAAAAAAATCAACTGAACAAAATCGATTTTTGAAGCATCTCGTGAAACTAGGTCAAATTCTACTTATCTAAACAATATACAGAGCTGGATTAGCAGGCTAATATTACAAGTTTGATATAAACAAAATTTTCCTTATCCACGTCTAGTCAGTGAACCCGGGCAAAATATTACTGATATATGCTCAAGCCCAATGACTAATGCTGACATTTTGGCCCTTACAGACATACCTACAGCTGTATAACAAGGTTCTTTATTCAACGACTTACATCCAACGTTTCGGTGACCGTCTGTAACCTTCTTCAGGGCAGCAATGCAGTCTCTTGCCAACCTGATTAAATAATTCACCGCTACGGGGTCTTGTCCTCATCTGCACTTCTACTAACCATTACCTGAGCTACGGACTTGTTCACTGGTTGTTGTTAAACAGTTTCTTGACAACCTGATGAAATAATTCATGGATGCCTACAGTACGTAGTCGTGTTTCCAGCAGCAACAGTCTTGTCCTCATTTGCTCTTTTCTAGCCATTACCCCGAGCTCCTTTTAAATGGGCAGTCTGTCACCTTCTTCAGAGCAACAATAACTGGCTCTTTTCATACAGTCTCCTGATAAAATTGTTCACCGATGCCTACAGTTGTGTTTCCCGCTGTGACAACCTTGTTCTCATTTGCTCTTTTCTAACCATTACCTGCGCTATGGCTCATTCTAGATGGGCAGCTTGTCACCTTCTTCAGAGCAACAATTACTGGTCGTACAATCTCTTGCCAACCTGGTGGAATGATTCACCGATGTTTCCCGCTGTGACAGTCTTGTTCTCATCTGCCCCTTTCCAACCATTACCAGAGCTATGGCTCGTTTTTCGATGAGCAGTCTGTCACCTTCTTCAGGGCAACAGTTACAGGTTCTTCTCATGATGGATTTATTCACCGATGTTTCCCGCTGCGAAAACCTTGTTCTCATCTGCACTTTTCTAACCATGACCTGAGCTACGGCCGGCTTTTCGATCGGCAGCTTACGTCTGTCACCTTCTTTAACAATGGCCGGCTCTTGTTATAGAGTCTCTTGCCAACCTGATAAAATTATTCACCGATGCCTACAGTTGTGTTTCCCGCTGCGATCGCGACAACCTTGTTCTCATCTGCCCTTTTCCAACCATTACCCGAGCTACGGCCCGCTTTCGATCGCCAGCTTAGGTCCCATCAGCGCTGCCGACTGCCGCCTTTTGTGATGTTGGGGAGGAGATCCATCTATGCTTGGCAGGGATCGGGCTGGAGCGGGGAGATGTGGGGATGTAGGAGAGACTGTCATTCACACAAATATCCCGTTAAACAGTTACCGCAATTTCTCCTTCCTTTCATCATTTAGAAGATCACCAAAATACTGAGTTTCTACTTAGATTGCAAAATCCACATGAATTTGCAAATGAAAACTACTAGTATTATATGAAGGTAAAATGATAATTGAAGTTGTTTATTGCAAATTTTTATTGATAATACAATGATGTACGGGGAGATGCGGGGATGTAGGGAAGACTGTCATTCACACAAATATCCATTAATGAATCTTTATTTGCATGTTCATGCCCATGCGGCTAAATACATACATCAGTACATGATGAGTGTGATGTTACATATATATCGTGCTGTGTAACATGGTACATTGGATAGAAGGATAAAAGAATAACGTAAAAGTCTTAGGGACTACAAGAGAGTACATTCTATCTGATCTAGGTCTTGAAGATTTTATCTCTGTTTTTAATGCAAATAATAAAACCGGGAGATGCGGGAATGAAGGAGAGACAGTTATTCTCACATCTATCCGTTAGTAATGTAGGAATGTATGGGAGACAGTTATCCACACATTTATGCATTAATCCCCCGCGCCATGCACAGTTCCTCCGTCTGTGTCTCCGGCAGTTTCGCGCCTCCTGAGGCCGAGACATGACGCATTTCTCTTCCTCCGCAGCTCATAACGTTAAAGGTTGCAAACGCTGGATCCTGTACACATGGGGCATCATACATGTGTTATGTTTGTTGTTTGTTATACACTTAGATATACAACATTCCATACATAGGAAGGTGTAATTATGCTGCAACTATTCGTGGTAATGTTTTAAGTGCACAGTTACTTCGTCTGTGTTGCCGGCAGTTTGGCGCCTCCTGAGGCCGGAACATGACGGATTTCTCTTCATCTGCAGCTCATAACGTTAAAGGTTGTGAACACTGGATGCCATACTCAGGGGGCCTTGTGCATTTGCAGCATTATACAATATACAATATTTCATGCGTACCAAGATGAAATTTATTCAGAAACTATTTACGATAATGTTTTGAGACACATTTGACAAATATAGACGTACCCATGTGGCTTGCTCAAGAATGTGCAACGTTATACAATATACAATATTTTATACATTCAGGGGAAGTAAATCTGTGCCCTTGTGTGTTTGATTGTGTGAGAGAAACAATAAAGGTACAAGATACATAATCATCAAAAATCATTTTATATATATGAGATGTACTATTCGTGGTAATAAGATAGGTTTGACTAATATAAAAGTACTGTATCTCCACTGTCTTTCCTTAATGGCCTTAAATTGAGTTTGTCTATATTCATGAGCTTACTCTATCCCTCCCTAAATTTTTCAGACTTGTTTGGCCTCTAATCCCTGGTTACCAAATTGTATGAGCCTCCGGATCTGGGAGGATGTCAGATGAAAAAGAATAGATAAACAAGAATAGATAGAATGTTAACATCTAATCTATACTATCAGAGGAAAAGATTGGAACGTGTCTTGAAAAAATAATTAAAATTTTCGATCTAATCGCAGGGAATTTAGTGTGAATTCGAGAATAGCGTTGCTTTCTAGTTCCGTTGTTTCTATCTACGTTTAC